CCTCATACATAATGAAATTGGTAGCTTTATCATTTCATAAGAAAACAATTAGAGAAAATATATTAATTCAGGAAAACTTGGCTTATTATGCAAATCAGGCCTTGCATAGTAGGCCAAAATGTGCGTTCTGGCTACTAGGTACGACATATGTATATATATATATATATATATATATATATATATATATATATATATATATATATGTCGTACCTAGTAGCCAGAACTCACTTCTGAGCCTACTATGCAAGGCCCGATTTGCCTAATAAGCCAAGTTTTCATGAATTAATTGCTTTTCGACTACCTAACCTACCTAACCTAACCTAACCTAACTTTTTCGGCAACCTAACCAAACCTAACCTATAAAGATAGGTTAGGTTAGGTTGGTAGGGTTGGTTAGGTTCGGTCATATATCTACGTTAATTTTAACTCCAATAAAAAAAAATGACCTCTTACATAATGAAATGGGTTGCTTTATCATTTCATAAGAAAAAAATTAGAGAAAATATATTAATTCATGAAAACTTGGCTTATTAGGCAAATCGGGCCTTGCATTGTAGGCTGAAAAGTGAGTTCTGGCTACTAGGTACGACATATATATATATATATATATATATATATATATATATATATATATATATATATATATATATGTATATATATATATATATATATATATATATATATATATATATATAAATATATAAATATATATATATATATATATATATATATATATATATATATATATATATATATATATATATAAATATAAATATATATATATATATATATATATATATATATATATATATATATATATATATATATATGATATATATATATATATATATATATGATTATTGACTTGATTTCAATTTGATTTGTGATGTTTATATATTCCTATATGATGCCAAGTTGTATTGATGCTTTAAAGTGAACCATGTTTGGCTGTGACGAGTAGACATAGAAGTACTTACGGCATTATTATTACCGAGATAATATATTCACGTATAGTTGGCCTGCAGTAGGATACTAGCACCTGAAGATTATTATTATTATTATGATTAATATTATGAGATGAATATTAATGTGTTGATGGGATTAATTTATGTTGAGGAAAGAGCAACTACTTATTATATGTATTTAAAGGGGGACTAGGCTAGCTAGGCTTAGAGTTTATAGGAGCTGTAAAAATATCAAATTTTGACAGTGATAGCATATTAGAAAAACATATATCTACTCAATATGTGGGGGTTTAGTGTCAAATGTTTATATGCATATATTTCTATTGATTACTACATAGGGTAGAGAGCGGTCAGTTTTGTTGTATATATATAGATTATTTTTCCAAGAAAATGTATACAAAAGCCTATTAACTATTATTGCTGCCCGCCTTGGCGACCTTGGGTGGAGACGGTTTTAGAAGATTGGGTCTGGACACTAACTAGCTGGAATATAAGACTGTAGGAGAGATAGGGAGTGTTAAGGCTTAGTAACGTTTTGCAGAAACCAAGAACAAGTATCAGGTAAGCTGACATGCAGTGTGAGTACCGACGACAGGTGGTCAGCGAGAATCTCAAAAACCCTGATTTGGTGTTTCTGTGAAGTAGGATACAGCAAAGGTAGCTATGACGACCTAACCACGACTCTGTCAGACGGAGAAGCGACGTCGTTTCGGTCCGTCCTGGACTATTATCAAGTCGTCCTTTAGCCAGGTTATTGTGACTCCTCGTCTGCATAGGTAGCAGCCTCCCTATCCCAGGTGTAGTTTCCTTGTTTAATTAATGTAAAGGAGGAGGACACGTCTCGTCTGTTGCGGGCAGTGAGCCTCAGCTCCATTATATACCTGACCTTTGGAGGCTCTGTCCGAGATGGTGGAGCCTCCATCCTTCAAACTTGGCTCCAGGTGACAAGTTCCACAATCCCCAGGGGCCGGATTCAGAAAGGTACTTACGAAGGTTTTTCCTCTTAGCTAAGAACGTTTTCCCTCTTAGCGCCTTCGTGACGGCTACGTCCGTATTCAAGTAGCTACACTAAGTGGAAAAACCTTCGTAAGTTTATTCCGGGATTTAAGTGTGGTTTCGACCACTCGTAGCTTTACGTAAACTGGATATAAGTCATTTTTTCTCTACTACATAACACTGGGATCGATTTATGATATTGGAACATGACCAAAATATTATAGCTGGTGAATCTAGTGAAGAGGAGTCCTTCGTGTTAGTTATATATGCATTCTCTGCTTGAAACTTGAAGTAAATATGTGTTTGATGATAGTAGAATTAGTTTTATAATAGCAACATATTATACCCGTAGTTATTAAGTAAATAAACACTGGTGAACATGAAATATGAGAGAAGGTGATGAGCCCTGCCTGATGGAATCATTTACTATCACCAAATGCCCCTGTTCACCTAGTAGTAAGGGTGTACCTTAGCTATACATACCCATTTCTAATTTATTTAGTTTGGTTTTATTTTGAAATTAAATCTGGGTGAGACATAAAATAAAAATATGCTGCACAAATGATGTTAGGTAAGGAGAAGGGTAAAAATGTCAAAAACTTTATTAATTGAATACTTAAAGCTATAATTATGATTATATAGACTATTAAAAAGAGAGGGAAGTTGGGGTCCAAGACCTCTTCCTGTTATACAATTTGGGTGTGGAACAAGTAATTATCAAAAGAAGGCACCATGCCGGGAAGGCTATGTAGCAGTAAGGCAGTGAGGTGAGGCAGCTACTTATTTGAGAAATGCTTATTTTATTTACCTTATAAGCTAAGGCAACTTATTTTATTTGAGGAATACTCAGCTGATTCCTCTACATTTAGCATGGAACAAATTTGTGTCTAAGACCTTTTCCTGTTACACAATTTGGCTGTGTGTAACCAAACTAGAAGTGCTCTACAAATCAAGGGACCCAGAATGTGGAATGACCTCCCGAATCATGTCAAAGGCTGTACCTCTCTCAACCAGTTTAAGAGTTAAACCAAGTACTGCCTAATTAACTCCATGTAACCTAACTTACCCCCTAAATGTCAAACCATGTCTTGCTATTTTTTAAACAACGCTGTTCACCAACATGTGCAATTGCTGATTTATGCTATGTTAACCCCCCTTTTTGTATTTTTTATTCCTTCTTTCAACACAATTTATACCTAATCCCGATTACTATTAAGTTTTAGTCTGTGTTTTTTCCCCCACACCTTGCCCGAAATGCTATGAGTATTAGTGGCTTTAGGTATTGTATGTACTAGCTCTGTCTATAAATCCAACATTATGTTTGTAAATCAACTGTATGTACTTTTCCTGAATAAAATGTATTTATTATTTATTTTTTAATCAGTAAGTATTAAAAGAAGGCACCAAGCTGGGAAGGCTATGTAGCACCATTGTGTGTAACAATAAACCAAATTTTTTTTTAACAAATAATGCACCTGTATGGTAAAACAAATCCTGTCAGCTGTAAAAATATTGATGCAGTTATCTAAATGAAAAATATAATGAAAGAAATATTACTGGTTTATTTTTATCCTATCTTTTTGTACTGTAAAGTATATCCAAGGAAGTGAAAAAGTGAGACATAATGCACAATTTAATGAATGATTAGCATGGATTAGCAGTTCAAAAGAAATATGACTATTACATATCAACATGAGATCTTAATGATCCATGGTCAACATGATTTAATAAGGATAATACAGTACTGTATTTGTAATAATACAAACTATAATTTAAAATCTTTATTACTGATTTTTTTTTATTAAGAAGATTAGGTATACACAGCAATGTGCTGCTACCCTATTCTATATGGAATATTACACAGTGTAGATAAAAAACTAGCTATAAGTTTATCTAATACTCCCATCTCACAGGATGGTTAGACATACAGTACTGTACATGGAATCAATTTAAAAAATACCAGCCTCAATACAAAAAACAAATCAACTCTGACTAAACAATTCTTCGCGATTTTCACAAGAGGTAAGCACTGAATCATGGAAACATTATAATTACTCCTACCAGTTTCTACAAGACTCCTCTCAAACAATGTATTTTTAAACATGTTTAGGTATACACAGCAATGTGCTGCTTCCCTATTCTGTATAAAGGACCACACAGTGTAGATCAAAAACCAGCTACAAGCTCATCCAACATCCTCACCTCACAGGATGGTCAGTCATACATGGAATTAGGAGAGAACAAAATACTTAATGCTGATCTATTAGCCTCCACTGGCAAAATCTGGGTGCAGCACAAGAATATCTTCCAATAGTCCTGAGTGTATGAAGTAATTACAGAGCTCAAAATACCTCATACCATTTGGTATGAAGTCACTGATAACAGGACAATCACAGATATAGTGTTGGAGAGTATGTTCTCTCAAGTAGGACTGAAAACAGATGTTTTTTTCCACCAAGAGGGCTATAAACGCATGGAACCGCCTACCCGCTGAAGCCGTAAATGCCAAATTCCTGCTAAAAAATATCATTAAGACAATTGGCGGGCCCTTTAACAAGCCGCCGGCTTTCTGTCCTCTTGGAGGCCACTAGATAGTTAGTGGCCCTTGGGTAAATTCAGTAAATATATACAATAATTGTCAGCGCATCTTCCGAGCAACAAGGACAGCTACACAGTATCTCTTAGAATTACGTAGGTAAACAACAAATGTAACATATTTGTTTACTACAATGTCGGTGCTGGCTGTAGAAGTTGAAAAAACATTGTTTTACTTCGAAATATACTAATTTTATAAGAAAATTCGACGTAAATAGGAGGCAGTAGAGCTCCGATAAGCCAGCACTAAATCTTCAATATGAAGAATGTTGCTGCTCTCTGATTGGCCAAACGAAACACAGTAGTGACCTCTATCGGCACGCAGGTGAACCAACAAATTTCTTCCTAAGTGGACCTTATTGAATCGCACCTAAGCATCTTCTTAGGGCGCACTTATAGATCAAATATATGACCAAATATATGAGTCAACAAACTATCATTTACCTTCAGGGATTTTGATGAGGGTGATGGGACCAGTAAGTTCTTCAGGATAACGTCTGGACTTGAGAGCAACTGTGAAGAAGTGTACGGGAGAAGTGTTATTCACAATAAAGGCGCACACTTGAGCATCTTCTCCAGATATCCACTTGCGGGGCGTCGTTATCACGTAGCTTCTGCGTACCAAAAGTCATCAAATTAGTTACGCATTAATTTGGTCATATAAATTACAAATTCTAAATTAAATGATTGACATATATATATATATATATATATATATATATATACAAAACATATAAATACAACTGTATAATCATCATGAGATCTCCTGAAGAATAATCTACAATCTTATACATTTCTGTTCCTCATAAGGTTCCATTAATACAACATTAAATAATTAGAAGTCAAGGAGAAATTTCACAATAGCAACTAATGGGGACAATTGTTCCTAGCCACAGAGGGTGATCAGGTACTGCTCCAGCCATCTGTCTATTTACTATTTGTATTTACTATTTGTGCCTGCTGAGTCGAGCTATTAGCTCCTAGACCCCGCCTTTCTAACCAATCTATTTTTCCTCAATTATATCTACTACATATATTTCTCCCTAACAAACACACACACGCACACACACACACAAAACCCATGGTTTAATCAGAGATGTAGGCTAGCTAAGCACCAAAGTAAAAGTGCATGGAGAAACTATAGGAATAACAGGACACTTGAGACCAGAATGCCAGGAATGAATATGTCAAGATGAGAAGAAGGCAGAAAGACAATACGAAAATGACATCGCAAGCAAGGCAAAGACTCAACCTAAATTGCTGCACAGCCACATCAGGAGAAAAACAACAGTAAAGGAACAGGTAATGAATATAAGGATAGGGGCAGAAGGATTCACTACAAACGACAAGGAAGTGTGTGAGTAAGTGAATAAGAAATTCCAGGAGGTTTTCACCTTGGAGCAAGGAGAGATTCCAGAGATACGAGAGGGAATAGTTAACCAGGAACCACTAGAAGAGTTTGAGATTACCAGTGGGGAAGTAAAAAAGTGTATGCTAGAGTTGGGTGTGACAAAGGCTATAGGGCCAGATGGAATCTCCCCTTGGATACTAAGGGAAAGAGCAGAAGCACTGTGCCTGCCACTCTCCATAGTGTATAACAAATCACTGGCAACGGGGGACCTGCCAGAAATTTGGAAGGCAGCTAATGTAGTTCCAATATACAAGAAAGGGGATAGGCAGGAGGCACTGAACTACAGGCCAGAGTCCCTAACCTGCATACCATGCAAGCTGATGGAGAAGATTGTGCGAAGAAAGCTAATGGAACATCTGGAGCGAAAGAACTTTGCAACACAGCATCAACAAGGGTTCAGGGATGGCAAGTCCTGCCTCACAGGGCTAATTGAATTCTACGACCAGGCAAGAAAGAGAGGGGTGGGCAGACTGCATATTTTTGGATTGTCAAAAAGCCTTTAATACAGTACCACACAAGAGTCTAGTGAAAAAGCTGGAGATGCAGGCTGGAGTGAAAGGGAAGGTACTTCCTTGGATAAGGGAGTACCTAAGTAACAGAAGACAACGAGTCACTGTGAGGGGTGAGGTCTCGGATTGGCGTGACATCACAAGTAGAGTCCCGCAGGGTTCAGTCCTTGGACCAATACTGTTTCTGATATATGTAAATGATCTCCTAGAGGGTATAGAATCGTTCCTCTCGATGTTTGCTGATGATGCAAAAATTATGAGGAGAATTGAAACAGAGGATGATAGTAGGAGGCTACAGGACGACCTAGACAGACTGAATGAATGGTCCAACAAATGACTGCTAAAGTTTAACCTGAGTAAATGCAAAGTAATGAAACTAGGCCGTGGAAACAGGTCAGACACAAGATACAGAATAGGAGATGAAGTACTTAATGAAACGGAAAGAGAGAAAGCTCTAGGAATTGATATCACACCAAACCTGTCTCCTGAAGCCCACATAAAAATAATTACGTCTGCGGCATATGCGAGGCTGACTAACAGCCTTCAGGAACCTGTGTAAGGAATCGTTCAGAATCTTGTACACCACATACGTAAGACCAATCCTGGAGTATGCGGCCCCAGCATGCTTGCGGGGGTTTAGCTCTGGCTCTTTGGTCCCACCTCTTAACTTTCAATCAACTAATGTACAGGTTCCTGAGCCTACTGGGCTCTATCATATGTACATTTGAAACTGTGTATGGAGTCCGCCTCCACCACATCACTTCCTAATGCATTCCATTTGTCTACTGCTCTGACACTGAAACCAAAATTTCTAACGTCTGTGTTAGAGCGTGTGCCCCTTGTGTTAAATAGTCTGTCTTTATCTTATATCCCAAGTTATATCCGTTAGGAATTTTCTTATTTCTTCTTAGCTTCCCTTTTGGATTGTCAGCCTTTAGTTTTCTGGGCCCTTCCATAAGTACATTAACCCAATTTCGGCCAGAAACTTAAACATCAGTACACTGTGATCGCTCATTCCCACGGGGGCTTCGAACCCGAATTCCCTTATGTCGGAGTCGTTCAGAGTGAAGATTAGATCGAGTGTCTCTGGTTCATCATTGCCTTTCATTCTTTTGGGTCCCATGTCATGCTGACTTAAAAAGCATGACTTGTCGTCACTTTCAACAGTTTAGGTCTCCATGTTTCCTCACCTCCACACGGTTCCTTGTTTTCCCAACACATCCTTTGGTGAGTGAAGTCCCCCCATGGTGAGCAGATGGGATCGATTTCTACAGGCAGCAGAGGCTGCTCTCTCAATTCTCTCAATTATAGTGTTAACTGCCAAGTTGTTTCTGTCATACTCTTGCCTGGATCTTCTGTCGTTTGGTGGAAGGTTATATATCACTGCTACTACTACTCTTGTTTCTCTCATCGTAATGGTGTCTGTTATATAGTCTGTGAATCCCTCGCAGCCTGGGATAACCATCTCCTCGAAATTCCATTCCTTTCTTATCAGTAGTTCCACTCTGCTTCCCTCCATTCCTTCCCCTCTCTTTCTTTATTACAGTGCAGTCCTGGGGAAATACCGCATTCGTTATTATTCCTGAGAGTTTTGTTTCCATGATTCCAATTACATCTGAGTTCATTTCTTGTGCTCTTTGCCTGAGTTCACTTGCCTTGCCTGTAGTCCCATCTATGTTCAAGTTCAATACATTAAAACTGACTCTCTTCTTTCCATCCCCAGTTTCTGCTAATTCCATTGGAGTAGGGAGACAAAGGGTGTCTGGGGTGGGATGGCCTAGAAAGGAGGACCTGAGGGATCTGGGGTGTGAGGAGGGGGGCTGGTGGGTTTCTGTATGGGGAAGCTAGATGGATCTAGGGTGGTGAAGTTGAGAGGGTCTGGGGTTGGGGGTCAATTAGGGAATGAGATGGAGGAGCAGGAGGGGCATGTGGATGAGGTGGAGGGAGGTCATTGATTGAGGAATGAAGAGGAGCCTGGGGTGGAGGGACAGGGAGGGAATGGGCTGGAAAATGGGAGGTCATGGGGTGTGGGATCAGGGAGGGCCTGGGATGGGGAAAGGGGTAGGGGGTATGAGGGCATGGGGGGAAACATGGGGGGGCCTGGGGGAGCAGGGGAGGCATGTCTGGAAAGGGTCTCTACTGGTTGGGGTGAATGGTCGTGGGGTGGGAGGTTTCTGTTATATTCCTCCCTGGGGATACTGGCCTACTGGTGGGGGGATTCCCACTCTCCTCTAAGGTTTCTGGAGATACTGAGCTGAGTCCTGTGGCTCCCCCTTTCCCATCTCTCCCCTTGCATCTTATAATTGCTTCTGCAGCCTTCCTTCTCTCTTCCGTCGTCATTTCCCTCTATAGAAAAACGTCCTTGTATTCCCCTAGTCTCATAAATTTGCTCTTCCTGGACAGGATTTTTTCTTTTGTTGCCTCGTTCGTGAGCATTAACTTTATTAGTCATTTCCTTTCCTTCTTGTAGCCACCCAACCTGAAAACCTTCTCTATATTGCCATTAGCCCCTATCATATCCAGACACTCCAAGATCTTCTTCGCCATTGCTCGGTCCTTCCTTTTCCACTCCTCCTAGTTGGATCCTTCCAGTTCCTGTACTCCTACAAATATAATAGATCTTTTTCTTTCCAGCATTTTGTGTAGTGCAATCCTCTCACGTCTCGCCAATCTGAGACGTCACCCCGAACAGTGACTCGCTGTCTTCTGTTACTTAGGTAATCCCTAATTCAATGGAGTACCTTCCCTATCATTCCTGCCTGCATCTCCAGCTTTCGAACCAGTCTCTGGTGTGGCACTTCGTCAAAGGCTACCCTGTGAGGCATGACTTGCCATCCCTGAAACCATGTTGGTGTTGTGTTACAAAGTTCTTTCGCTCCAGATGTTCCACTAGCTTTTTTCGTACAATTTTCCCCATTAGCTTGCATGGTATGCAGGTTAGGGACACTGGCCTGTAGTTCAGTTCCTCCTGTCTATCCCCCTTCTTGTATATCGGGACCACATTTGCTGCCTTCCAAATTTTTGGCAGTTCACCTGTTATCAGTGATTTGTTATAGACCATGGAGAGTGGCAGGCACAGTGCTTCTGCTCCTTCCTTTAGCGATATTTCATGGCGATATTTCATTTGGGCCTATAGCCTTTGTCGCATCCAGCTCTAGCAAAAGCTTCCTTACATACCCACTGGCAATCTCAAATTCCTCTAGTGGTGCCTGGTTAACTAT